TCTCTCTCTCTCTCTCTCTCTCGCTCTCTCTATGTCCTCTGCTCCCCCGGCCCATCAGTGAGTGCGTTCAGAGTTCTAGAACACTCGTCCTGTCTTCCTCTGCTGCTCCAGGGGGCTCTGGGTTAGACGTCTCTGCTGGCCGCCTGCTCATCCAGCCGGGGCAGAAGGCAGAGCGCTGGGCGGCGCAGGTGCCAGCCTCCACCGGGGGAGGGGGAGCTTGTTTGGAACACGGGGTCGCCTGCGGCCACTGGCTCTGGGGGCCCCAGTGCTGGGTGCAGAGATGCCCGGCCAGAGTGGCGTGGGTGCGTGACCACGTCCGGATCTCCGGGCCAGTGTGGACGGCCGACTCTGGTTCCTCCCCAGGAAGCGCTGGCCAGCTGCCCGGTCAGCAGGCAGGTGTCCGGCTGAACGCCGAGAGGCCCACGCCTTTCCTGGTGACACGCGTGGCCCTGCATCGTTCCACAGAGCAGCTGCACGTGTTCGGGGCGACACGGGGAGGGCAAGGACAAAATCAGTCTAATTCAGCTGAAAATCTCCAAACAGGGCCCTGGCCAGGTAGCTCAGTTGACTACAGTGTCGTCCCCATAGGCCACGGTTGCGGGTTCCGTCCCCAGTCAGGGCTCAGGGCGCACACAAGAATCAACCCACGAAAGCATGAATAAGTGGAACAAATAATTCTCTCTCTCTTCCTCTATAAGACCAATAAATAAAAATTTAAATCTCAAAATAGGACCCGACATCGAATGGTTCCAAACGGCCCGTGTGGAGATTTTCTTAGTTGTCCACGGTACTTCCCCGCACCTTCCTCACAGGAGTGCCCGTCAGCAACCTCCCCTCCCCCTGGGACCCTCCCGCTCGCCTATGGAGTGAACAGGCTGCTTCTTCCTGGGGATGAAAAGTCACAGCTGCTGACTATGGAGGGTGACGACCCCAAGGGGCAAATCTGTGAGTCCTTCTGCGCAAGGTCACTGGGTGAAAGGAAGAGGGTTTGAAGCGCTGCAGGCCCGGGAGGAGCTGTGAACAAGACGCTAGAGCAACAGCCCTGCAGGGAAATCTCTTCGTGCAAAGACCAAGACTCTAGAGTAAGGAGGGTCGAGTGACAAGAGCAGCCCGATGCATGGGACTGAGGTGTGAGCAGGTGAGGGAGCGGCGGGTGGAGGTCAGGCCTTCCCGCAGGAAGTCTGACTGTGCAGGGAAGAGGGTCCCAGCTAGGCAGGCAGAGGGAGCAGAAGATGACAGTGTTGTTGTTACTGTTATTATTACTGAGGCAGGAAAGTCAGAGCAGGGAACAGAGGCCTCGAGCTCTGCCCTCCCCTCTCCTCCTCGGCTGGAACCTCACAGACACGACCTCCACTGCCCCGTCCCACCGCTCCCCCTCGATTTCCTGTGACGAGGGCACACAAAACAAGGAAAGGAGCCGATGTCTGCAGAGGAGGGACCAGGACCAGGGCACAGGCAGTGGCCCTACACACGCCAGAAGCAGAGGACCGCCCCAGGTGCCCCCTTGCCCACATTTAGTAGAAACCTCCCACCCAGACCCGAGGCACGCCTGGCTCCCGAGGCCGCCTGCTCACTGCCCGGCGGGCACTGGCTTTACTGAGCCTCCTGTGCTTGGCTAGATCTGTCTGTCTGCCCCCGACTTCCTTCTCGGACAAGCCCTGGGATGGGGCTGAGGCGCCCTCGGCTGCCGGCACCACTGCCAATTACCATCATTACTTTAACGTGGAAGAGGCTCCGGTGCTTTAAATGCCGCGAGGGGAGAACCTGTGGGGACAGGTGAAGGGTCCGGCTGCGAGAGCAGCGTCCCTGCGGAGGGCAGGCCAGGACCACGGTGCAGAGCTGCACCTCGGCCAGCGGACCTTCCGGCCCAGCCTGGGGAAGGCGCGGCACGGCTGTGGACGCCTGTGATTTTGGGGGGACGGACGGCTGCTGTGGCCGTTTCTCCGGGGATGTAAGAGGTGAGGGGGTTTTCCGAAAGGGGCAGGGAGGGGTGAAGTGGGTGTCGTGGTAACTGCCTGCCTGAAACAGCCCTGAGGGCGTGGGACGGGGATTGATCGGGGCGTGGGAGGGTCTAGGCAGCGTGGAGGAGCCCAGTGAGATGAGGGACCTTGAAATCTTTGTGCTAGGAACCCGGGCTGCGTGAACTTCCCACCCACGGTGGGTGGGACCGAGAGCGTGGAGGCCCGGGTTTAATCAGACAGGAGGGGAGAAGGTAAGGGCTGACGGTCTGCCAGGAATGGAGTTAAAATGATAGTGGGTCTGGCGTTAGGGGAGGAAAGGGAACAGGAGAGAGAAGATGGGAGGAAAGGGAGGAGTCCAAAACCCCCGGGGCTGACGGGGGAGGGCAGAGAGATAGGGAGGGTGGACGAGTGGTTTCAGGTGGCAGAGGTGGCGACATGCTGGGAGGAGCTGGGGGTGTCAGGCAGACAGGTCACAGGGTGGCAGAACTGGTACCCGGGGAGCCAGCAGGGTGCGGCCTGCCTCTGTGGTGTGGGGTGGGGACGCTGACCAGGCCTCCCTGGGGGGGGTGGGGGGGGACTGCGGCCCTGGGAACGAGCCAGGTGTCAGGCAGGTCCCAGCGAAGGCGAGAGCAGGGAAAGGAGGCTGGAAGGTGGAAGAGCAGAGGTCCCGGAGGACCGGACAGGAGGACCCGTGGAGGAGGATGCGGCGTCAGCCGGAATGAACCGGAAGGGCGGCATTTACGGGGGTTTATGGAGAGATCTAAGGCAGCCCCGTGCTGTAGGCAAGTGGCTTCCAGCCTGGCAATTCTATTAGGGACCCTGGAGCTGAACGGGGAGAGGCTGCGCCCCAGTCCCTTAGCGCCTGAACAGGACAGGAAGCCCTGAGGGCCTCTGGACGGTGCCCAAAGATGGTGACACAGCCAGCGAGTTTCAAAACGGCGCTGACATTTCTTCACCTTCTCTATGGCCTCTGCGAGCTCCTTGTGTAAACAGGTCAGACAGGTGACTTCAGGCAGCCTCTTGTCCGTCCTCAGCACCGCCCACCTGGTCACGGGGCACGACTGGTGCCTGGTGACCTTTGTGTCCCACAGGACTTGGGACCTGACCGGGGTCAGCCGCGCTGAGCCCCTCTGCCCGGCTGGGGGTGGGGTGGCCGCTGCCATGCTCAGCCCACGCCCTGCCCACGCTCTGCCTCCACCTCCTCCTCGGCAAGTTTCTTTCCTTGTTTCAGTTGCAAATGATGAGTGTGCATGACTTAGAAACTTGGGGAAATTGTTTTTAAGAAAGAAAGAAAAAGGCCCTGGCCGGTAGCTCAGTTGGTTAGAGCATCATCCAGATGCACCAAGGTTGTGGGTTCCATCCCTGGTCAGGGCACATACAAGAATCAACCAATGAACGCATAAATAAGAGGAACAACCCGATGTTTTTTCTCTCTCTCTCTCTCTCTTCCCCCATATATATATATGTATAAAATCAATTAAATTACTTAAAAATAAGGGAAGAAAAACTCAGGTTGTAAGGTACTCAGTAAGCTAGCGACAGGCCAGGAGACGGCTGCCTGACCTGAGGGCCGATGTTCAGCTCAGCATCTCCCTTTTTGGCGCCCTTCAGCGGGGCGCTGTGTGCCTTCTGGGGGCGTCACAGCGGAGCGATCAATCGATTGCTCGCTCTGCCTCATGAACGGTCGGCTGGACGGCTGGCCTGGTCCCTGCGCTACCACACTCCCCACGCGCTTTCGCCAAACAGTCCAGCAGCTGGTGAGCAGGCTCGTGGCCTGGGTTTATGATTTCACCAGGGCTTCCGAAGAGGCGACTTTCAGATGCAATGACTTCCCCTGCGTTTAGTCACCGTGTTCGCCTCTGACGAGCTTTCCCCCATCCATCACGTGGTTCCCTGAAGCACAATCCAAACAGAAAAAGGCCGGATAAAGGCAAGGGAAGGGGGCCGCAAGTGTAAGGCAACCGGGAGGAAACAGCTAGTCAGGTCCAGACTCCACTGAATTCCACACAACAGATGACTGATTCTCCAATAAATGGCTTTTTTTTATAAAAAGGAAGAAAACCGGAAGACAGACTGTTAGAGGTGAACAGAGACGGGGTGTGTGATCCGGTGCAATGTGTGAACCTCGGGGGCCTGATCTGAGCTGCCAGTTGTGAACACTCGGCTTGTTAATTTGTTTTTGAGGCGACTGGGGGACGTGAACGTGGACAAGGTATGAGATTATACGAAGAAATGGCCATTATTTTTGTTGGGGTGTGACTGTGGTGGTGGGAGAGATACATGCTGAGGTATTTATGAGTAAAATGAGACAATGTCCTGTATTTGCTTTAAAATACTCCAGGGCTACAACATCACCTTTGATGGCTGCATAATATTCTACCGAGTAAATATACCAGACTTTCTTTAACCGATAATCAATGTACAGTGTATTTATAAGAGAAAAGAATTAAAATAATATAAATATACCAATGGTCACGTGAATTAGGTCACACATCTAATCTATAAAATATTATATAGCCACTAAACACTATACCTAGAAAAATTTGAAGACGTGGGGAAATGCTTATGATATAATATGAAGCCAAAATAACCAGCTCCAACATAGTATGACATCAAACATATGAAGGAAAATGGCACAGGGACAGCCATGTGGGAGGTAAAGGATGGGAGGACCTGAGTTTTAAAGAGCAGCCTTCAACTCTGGAAGCCAGAGATTCTTTCAGTCTGCTTTTATTCTCCCCTTGTGTCCTATTTCTCTCTTTTTTATTTTTTAAAAAAATATATTTTATTGACTTTTTATAGAGAGGAAGGGCGAGGGATA